TAATTTTTGTTCTAGACATGGTCTTAGTAAAGTTTGAGCTAAGATTGCGTGTATTAGTAAGTGACAATAAAATGGGACTGTGGTCAGTTATATCCGTCTCAAAAACAAAACATCGGTATTCGCTGTCAAGTTTACACATAAAATGATCCAAGCAAGTCTTACCATGAGTGGGAATGTTGACCGAGTTGTTTAAGCCGTGGGAGCCGATAACTTCTAAATAATCAGTAACGTTTTTACTGTTAGTATTTAGGGTATCTATGTTTATATCTCCAGTTACAATCAAATTCTGTGTTTTGATAGTAGTAAGATATTGATCCAGAGAATCTAAGAATTTATCAGGTTGTTTGAAACAGTCTGGTCTGTATATGCCCAGGATACTTATGTTATCTAATTCAACCATTAGACAGTTCGCCTCATCGATATCCAATTCATTCACTTTTGCATTGAAGTCTGTATTAACGTAGATGATAACTCCATCATTTTGGTTGTAACTTCTATTAGTAGAGAATACCGAATACCCGTCTATTAAGGGTGGTATGGTGTCTTGATCGGACCAACATTCGGTGAGTACCAGGACATGTAAGTTTATATTTAGTCTTGTTAAGAAAATAAGGAAATCATCCAGGTTTTTGTTTATACTTCTAATATTCATCGAAATAATGTTAAATATTTTTTGTGGTTTAGAAAAAGAACTTTTAAGTTCAGATTCAATATGTTTCGGGTTTTCTATAAGTTTACAAGAAATTTGGTTGAATGTGTCTATTTCATCAATTATGATATTACCGTCCATCGAGAAGAGGTGTGGTGAGACTTATTTTCGATGGGTTGCAATACATATTAGTTATGTAGGTAGTGGGCGTGCAGTTGCGTATATGATATGGTGTAAGATAAGTTAATATTACATCTGAAGAATTTATTTTAGTGGATTGTTTATTGATAAGGTTCATTATGTATCTCGAATTATGCAAATGATGTTCAGTGAGAGTTTGATGTGTATGTAAGTAGATAACAGTAGCCGATGTAGAATAATCAGGCGATATAGTATGGAATATGATTACTTTAACATATAGAAATAAGATATAACTTAGATTAAAGAAATATTTAGATAAAAACTGACAGACACTACGAACTAGTCATATGTTCCGTAACTGGTGCAGTTGAGCCTCAGACCTTACCAAAATATAGGGATCACCTTGTTTCTTGCGTAGATACACTAAGCCACTTGACGTCCAACAGAAGTCGTAGCCCATACTCTTACGGAATTCTCTAGCCAGGAAGAAGAGTCGCGATGCCATCGGGGTGAGATGTTCAGCTAAATAGATTGCAACTTTAGGCCCCTCAAGTCCAAGATGTTGGGAATTTAATTGATCGGTCTTGAACTTTATGGAATCAGCGTGAAACCTCTTTGCAGCCTTCAATATGTTTCCTTTAGTAAGAGTCGAGGAGAGTTCTGCAACGACCATCGAAGATGAATTGTCATGTTTGGTGGGAACTCGGTAGGCATCGCGCACTTCTGAGGCATCCAAAGATACACCTAGTGAGATCGTTAATTTATGAATTGCATTGAACAGAGATTCTTTGGTTTCTCCTCTCTGTTTAGGAAAGTTTCTTATCTGGAAGCTGGTTTTGCGGGAGAATCTTTCCATCAAGTCGCATTTGTCCTCAAGTCTAGAGATCTGTGAAGCCACTTCTTTACGTTCTTCATCGAGACGGCTGATAGCTGATTGTATTACCTTTAGTTGGTCGTTGACAAACTCAATGGATGTACCAATTTCAGTAGTCGTCAGATGCATGCCAACACATAAGCCAGATAGTAGCGAAAATATACCACAATAAGCAGTATCAAGCTTTATTACTTTTGTATTACAGATGACGTTATGGCTTTATTTTGAATAAGAGAATTTTAAAATTAAAATAATGTTGTAAGTTTACTAAATTCTGTATAAAGCTTGCGGTATTTTTTGAAGCTGAATAGTAAGCAAGAGTAGAATCTGTTAAACAAGCGATATTCAAATAAAAGTAATTGAAACAGCTATTATCTGCACAGTAGCTGAATTTTTTGCATTGTCTTGTATGACATATTTAAGCAAAGCAGTTAAACAGCAAAACGCTGAATATTAGACGAAATATTTTCTTTAAGCTGCATAGTGTACGAAATGGTACCAATTTATTCAGATGCTGAATATTTTAGATTTTTTCTTCTTTACACAGCTGACTTCTGCATAATTGAAAATAAACTCCTTGTTTTACCTAACTTATAGCGCTATAAGCGTACAATTGTCTTTGTGTTAAGCTTAAAACAATATCAGTTACAAATGTGGGTATCTTAAGCAGCAAATAACTGATTAGTTGAAGATATCGTATGTTTATATCCAGATATTTCACAATTTTGTGATAAAACTGATAAATACTGCATCATTAATATGCCTCCTCAGAAAAATAATAACAAAAGCGTAAATGATTTATTGAAAAAAATAAAGAGAACGGGAGGAATAAGAAGAAAGTGTTCACGAGAGTATGAAAAGATAAAAAATAGTATCTGTGCAGTAATAGAAAAGGGTTTGACATTGTTTGGCCCGGGTCAAGTGCGACCAATACAGTTGAAGAGGGTTCTGTACACGATGATTGTGCATCACCATCAGGATTAGTGATTCAAACAAATAGACCGGGTCCAACTTTAGATGCAGATAACGAGAGTTATATGCGTGACAAGTTTGCGTATCAATCACAATTTTATAGTGATTCAAGTTCTACAGATTTGGAAGAAAACTCAGAATTTAATAAAAAATATTATTATTATCGTGCGTATCAGTTCTGTTCAACATTTGAGATAATTCTTCCTCAGCTTTCCTCAGGTTTTTGCAAAGTAGCTCGCCTTTTTTTGGCCAGTATAATATTCCTTTGTTTTCCCTAGAAGCGGGCACTGTTGATAATTCAACTCGGCCTTTTTTACAAGTCGAAATGATTTTGAACATGTTGCTGAAAAAAATATATAACATTTTCTATAACACTTCAAAAATACTACAACAACACTATTATAAATACTAACATTATATAATAAATCTCGATGTTTACGTTTGAATCTTACTTATTGACTACATGAGCGCAACAAGTGTATATAAAGTAGGTACCTACATTAGTATAGGTCCCATCAACCTCAAATATTCATGGATTTATTTTATATAAAAAGGAACCCTAAAAAGCTGAATTAGAGTATACTGCATTATGTTATTTAAGACCTTTCTCTGAGAAATATATAATTATTGTGCTTTAAACCAAATAATTTCTGGATATGTAGTCGTATGTGAACTATTATGCAGAAATAAGCAAAATAATCTCTGAAATAGACACTTTTATTCAAATAGGCCATCCGCCATTAACTAATGTTCGACATAACCTCTTCTTATAAAAACCCTCAACATTTATCTTATGAAACACTTTGTTTAGTGAGTAGGAAACATTAGCAGTTATACAAAATTTGATTCTCATTATTTTCTGGGACTGAAATTTGATAAAAAGTAAAGATAATTTAATTTAAATATTATTTCACATTTGTTTACCTTTTAATTTGTAGCTTTATCTGAAGGCGCTCAAAAAATGTATAATAATCATATTGATAATTCACAGTAAAGTGCCATGCGTTTATATAATTCACCTTAAACTTACTTCAAATGTATGAAACAATTTGCTTATCAAATTTTTGAAGTCGTGAAGTAGCGACCATTAATATATTTTGAAGTAAGTTACACAAAATAATCTCGTCACAATGAAAAATATATTTATACTTTTTTTTACTTGCATAATTTCTTTGTAAAACTTCCCCTGAGTTCGGAATTGTGAATATCATTTGAATATCTGAATTCACAAATAAACAACTGCATAAGAGATGTATAATTTCTGGACTAAAGAAAAAACAGAATTTATGCAGAAGATATTCAGTGTGTTGTACATTTATTCATCTGCTATGTAGCTACTAATCAAATGTTATCCAAATTGAAGCAAGATATTTTGTGCCCAAATTGCTTGAATATCATCTGTATAAGCGCTTACACAGAAGTTATACAAATACTTTATCCAGCTTAAAGTCAAAAGAATTGCTTTTACGCAAAATTTATTCAGCTAATCTGTGTTGGCTCATTTTCATTCCTTTTAACTAACATATTAAAAAACTGAAATTTGCAGAGTTCAAAACATAGATATCAATACAAATACGAAAAAGTACATATAGAATATGAGTTGTTTATTGAATTTTGATAACTAATTTACTTTTAAACATGAAAGAACACCAGAAGAGTTGTCATGGAGAATCAAGAACGTACCGTACCGACATCTAGTTTGATTTAGAGAACTAATGTTTTTTTAAATACTTCCTCATTATTCGAAAATCTCTAGCGACATCTAGTTTGCTTTCAAGAACTTATTTATATTTTTAAATACTTCCTCTTTCCTGCCTAATGCGCCTACCATAGGGTAGACACACGTGACCTGTTAAACGAGTCTTGATTTCGTTATTTTTATATTAATACGTAATGTGTGTTTTTGCTTACTTTGAGTATAAATAAAAATCTAATTTGTAAATTCTTTAAATTGAGCTGTATAGATTTGGTTCCTTTGTTATTCATTTACCCAAGACAATAAATGTCAACACCAGTACAGTCGATGATACGTCAAATTGCTATAACAATTATTGTGATCTAACTTTAAACCTTATTTCAAATGCTTACAAAGAAAAATGTTGATTGCAGAAATTTTATTTTTCTCAGCAGTTTTTATTACTTAAGTACATGTTTCATGAAATTAAATTATTTGTAATTTTATTCCTTTTATTCACAAAAAATATTTTACACCAAAGAAAGATTTAATAATATATGAGTAAAAAGTGATTACAATTGAATTTTTAACAAAATGGTAGTAATAAAATGTTTAGCTAATGTTGCACAATTAGTTAAAAATTAGAAATAATTTACATACTTACTGAAACTTGTGTTTTCCAAATTATAGCACGGCCGTGTGAAAGTACGAACATCAGAGGAAGAGAAAGCCCGCAAAGAAAAGGAGCGTCAAGAAAAGCTTAAAATTTTCAAACATGCTATGCAAAAAATCAAGTTTATGGTGTGTACAGTGCATTACATATGAATTGCTGATAAAAATCATAATAGCAATAGAATAACATAATTTTAATATTAAGTAGACTTATTGTATTTTGTATATAATCTAGAACTAAACTTTTTCAGAGAAAAGAAGGTAAATTGGATAATGAACTGTTGGAGCTGACAGGAAAAGTTTTATCCTCTAATCCAGATATTTACACTTTGTGGAATATAAGAAGAGAAATCCTCATTGTTTTTGAGTAAGCTAATTATCTTTCAATTACTTTTAAAAGTATGATATTTGAAATAAATTAAATATCTTCTTTTAAATATTTAATTTTAATCATAAAAGGATTTTATTTCAGAAAAGATGAAAACATGCAAAAGAGCATGCCAAATTTATATGATTCTGAACTGCAATTAACTGAATATTGTTTGAAAGTAAACCCAAAATCATATGGATCTTGGCATCATCGACAATGGGTTCTAATAACTCGTCCTGATCCTGATTGGAAAACTGAGCTGAATTTGTGTAACAAATATTTGAAGATGGATGAACGAAACTGTAAGATGGGTGTACCTTAAATACTACTAGGATAATTATTAAAATTTTATTTTTATATAATTTTGTGAATTATGTTGGTTCAAACTACACTTACAATAGTTTTAATTCTGTCAGTCCTTTTTTTTTTAAACAACAAAGGTAACTAGAATTTACTTATATTTAACCTAACCTAACTTAACTAATATGTGACATGACAACATATTAGCATTTACTAAAAGAAATTGCAATTGATTTCTCATATGCACTATCCATAAATGAAACAACTTTTAAATAGTTTCATTGCATTTGTGTTTAGTTTTATTGCCGTTGCGGACACTACAGGTTCCATGTTTACATAAGTCTAAACTGTTGATTGTCTTTTTAATTAAGAGTATAGCTATCTTTGAAACAATACTATTGGAAATATTCACAATACAATTTTTTTATATTTTATGGCAACATTACATTTATTAAATTAAATTATCTTAAAAAAAAACATTTAAAATATGTTTCATTTGTAGTAAATTAAATTGAGTTTTTTTTTAGTTTTAAAAGATAGTATTGACACTATTGTCTTTAAAATGTACCTAACTAAATGTTTTTTTTTCAAAAACTTTGATTAAATAATTGTTACAGTTCATACTTGGCACTATCGAAGTTTTGTTGTCAGCAAATGCCAGCCATCACTGAAAGACGAATTTGATTTCACCACTGAAAAGTTATTAGATAATTTTTCTAATTACTCTGCCTGGCATTATCGTAGTAAAATGCTAGTTGAATTATATCCTGACGTTAAAGGTAATATTTTTTAATTCAATACAATGACTAGAAAAGTGTTAAAGAAATCACCTGTCCCGGGAACCAGGAACTGAAGATATAGCTTTGCCAATGCAAAGTTGATCAACTATTAATACATTAAATTAAAATGCTTAATTGAATGCTAAAATTGTACTACTATTATTTTGTTTTTGAATTAAATAAATATAATGAAGAACTATTGTTCTTAAGGGTTCTTATTAACTATTTACTTGGAAAACCACATTTCAGGAGGAAGACCTATAGAGGACAGCCATCACAAACATGAGTTGAAAATGGTTCAAAGTGCAGCATTCACAGATCCTGATGATACTAGTGCTTGGTTCTATCAAAGGTGGTTATTAGGTACGTCCAATTTGTATTTGTATATAGATTTTTAAAATTTGACATGTGGTTGTATAAATCTAAGTTTTATCATTATTAGTCTAGTTACGTCGCCACTGCAGAGGCTCAGGCTTTCTTTATGGATGGTTAAGGAGAATGGGCCATAACCCTCCACTCTAGCGCAATGCGGATTGGAAGGTATTGACGACTGCAAATTCAACCGCGATGATCGGCTTAACGTACCTTCAGAAGCGCGGAGTATCTCGAGATAACAGTTTTTTGGTCGCCCATGACGTGACCGACCTTTGCGAAAGTTGCTTAACAACAACGATCGCGGGCCACGGCGTTTATCTATTACGAGTTGATCATTAATTTTAAGTTTACTAAATATAATTCCACGAATCATCTGTTCAGTCTCTCTGAAACAATAGAGAGTCGTAAGAGTAAAAAAATCTTATAAATATTTCAGGTGCAGTAAAAAATAATGTTGACTTAGCAGTTATATCTGTGACACCTTCGAATACTTCTTTAGCATTCAGTCAGTATGTTTCCAAAGATTTTGTAAATAGTAAAATAGAAATCATTATAAATGATTTGCCAGTAAGTGGTGAGTGGCTATCTTGCATAGGAAACCAGTATGATAACTTATGGATCTTCAAACATAATGTATTGATAGAAGATGGTTTAGATATCAAGGTATGTAATGTTCCACTAATAGCTGCCATAGTAAAAGTTACATTTTCCTGTGATTCTTTTATAATTAGTTCCATAATATAGCTCATAATATATATTATACGACCTTCGTAGCCAAGTGGTTCCCACGCCGGTTTCATGGTGTCACCACCTCTGAGGTACCGGGTTCGATTCCCGGTCGACTCAATGTAGGACATGGAATTTTCTATATTGTCTCAAGTCTGGGTGTCGTGGTACTTGTGTAGTCTCAGATACTCCATAATTCGGGAGCTTTAGCTACTCATCTTGGTATTTGAGCAACGTATTTAATGTTTTGTAGTATTTATTATTATTTATTTTTTAAATAATAAAAAAAATATAGAACTAATGTTATAAGGAGAAAATATTTAATTATTTGTTAATATTGAATGGGTTCCAAAACTACACGACGGCTTTCAAAAAATCTTTCACCTACGGGATACTACATCATACGTGGGTAACATAAGCTGTGATTTACTCAGGCCAAGTTGCGAAGAAACAGCTAGGTTAGGAAATAATCAGCTGCTTACCATAGAGATTTTAAATTTATTTCAGGTTCAATATGAAATAGAAAATGGACAAAAGCAAGTTCTCTCTTGTGTACCAATTAAACCATTTACCTACGTTGGCCGGAATAAAGTGAACTTTCAGAAACATTATTCAGTACCTGTACTAAATGAATTAAAGGATCAATTAGAATCGTGTCGTCAATTACTTGCTATGGAGCCTGATAATAAATGTGAGTTTACTGGTTTCTTATAATTTCACGCACACAATTAATTAAATGATTGTAAAATTTTAAAGGATTTCGCGATAAGCCCTCAGAAAGTAAACACGGAACCTATAAAGGTTCCGAAACGATATAAACGCGCTGAACCCGTTTAAAGTTGTTTAATTTAATGAATTTACTGTTTTGTTTTTACTATGTTACTATTTAAGGCATGAGCTGCATCTGACAGCACGGTTTCGTCTTTTTCCGTTGCCCTATTCTTTTTTAGTCGCTCATAACCGCCGTTTACTAGAACGAGACAACGGGTGTGCGATGGCACGCCGCGGAACAGCCTCGATCTACAATTTCATATAATAGAAATTATATAATACTAGTCAGGGCCTCTCAAGCTTTTTTTTTCAATACTATAATGTTCTTCCTAGAAACCATAATGCAACCCACAAAAATTTCATGTAAAATGTTGCCAAGACTACACCAAATGGCCCGCACATCAAGATGCCCTAACTCTATAAGATATAAATAACTCTACGCCTTAGTGAAAACATATAGCTTGGTAGTTTTGTTATTATACAACCGTACTTCCAAAACCTCTCCGTTATAAGTACATAAACAGTTTTGTAAACGACTAAGCCACATATTTTGATTAAGGTTGTAAAGTTGATCTAAACTAATTCTGAAATGACCGTAAAAAATTAATGCTTTGTGCTCTGTGATTTCAGGGACACTTTTAACAACTACAGTGTTTTTGAATTGCATCAATGCAAAACTTTATCATACTGAAGTTATAGATAATTTAAAAACTTTAAAAAGTATAGATAAATTACGTGCTGGGTATTATGAAGACTTAAAAACTAAATGGTGTATTGAAAACCAGCTGTACAAAGATTATGAAAATGGCGAGCTTGTGTTTAAAGTGAATTTCGGTGAGAAAATATCGTGCCTTCCGCATCTACAATACTATAGTCATTGTGAAAAGGTTGACTTGTCCAATCAAAATTTGACATCTAAAGTTTTGCCATCTTTGATAGTATTACAAAACTGCAAGGTAAGCCACGCCAAGACAATTTAAAAAATCTGTCAAAACATACACATCAGTGTTGTAAAATAGTATATTTTCTTTGTTTCAGTGCTTATCATTAAAAAATAACAAATTAACATCTCTGAGAGGTTTCCCAAGTCTGGCATTGGAAGAATTAGATTTACAGGGTAATGATCTAGATATAAATGAAGTAAACAGAATAAGAGAAGTTTTTAAAGGTAACATAATATTTTAGTAGGTAATTGCTTTTAATAGGTTACATTGTGTTATGCACATCTGACTTTATAAAACTCGATTTTAAACCTTAATGCATTAATAGTAGAGTCGAATTCCATTGCTGTTTGACATATTGTTTTACCCGCAAGGGTTGAGACAGCATGTCTAATTTCTGCAATTAAAAGCCTTGTGTAACTTCAATAAATTATGTACATTATATCATTGGTATGAAAATATGTTACCAATTATTTCATTCTTATTAATTCTAATCTGATATTAATTTAATATAATAATTTTAATTGTAACTGAACACATCCTATGTAACACATATATGTAATAACTAAATAAGTTGTTATTTTATTATTATTATATGTATAAGATGCAGAAACCTTGATTTTTATCACACTCTGTAAGAATGTAGAGTCCTATAAGTACACATTAGCGCCACAGTCTTATAATTTAATCTTCTTTTTGATCGTTTGAAAACCAACATGTACAGTCGAACAGCACACCATTTTATACAAAACTCAAATTGCATTTGATTTAACTTATTGAAGGTAGTCCAAAATATGTTACTTAATTTTGTTGTTACCTGATATCCTGCTGTGTCCTGAAATATTATAAATTGAAATCTATATCAATACCACAAGAAATAAGTTAAGCTTGCAGTCAACATCTGGGGGGGAGGGGGGGGGGGGGACACTATCCTACCCTACTCCTAACCATCGGTTCGTTTATGTTATCAGTTGGGATTTGTCATCATAAAAATAAAAATGTTTGGTTAGAGTAGTCGCCCGAATTACGAAAGGTCATGGGTTTGAGTTCCATCTCAAGAGTGCCATGGCCAAAGTAAATTTTTAAAAATATTTTTCATTAAAAATATAAACAGTGCAGTTGAAATCTATAAAAATATAATGTTAGTATAGATACTAAATATATTAATCACATTTCGACTGTGGCACTAGCGTGCCTTAAGGATTGAATTCTGCATTTATCAAACTTTTACATGTATATTTAACAATAAAGCTACGCTTGCACTGGTGACTTTTGTCATCGTTATCTTTTGTTTATCACTGCCTGTCATTTAAATGGAAATAAGTTAATAGAGTATTTAACACTATTTAAAAATAAGTTGCGTATTAAGGTCTAACAGGAGAACCTACATGACTTGATAATTCTTAGAATCTGCGGTCAAAATATGTTTTCAAGTGCCCGCGACACCGTTAGGATTATAAGGCAAGTTGACAGGCGCACGGTGACAGAAAGTTACCGATGTGCGCAGAGCCTAATAATACAAAACGTTAAAGCTGCGCGCGCGCTATTGTTTATTTGTCATCATAGGCATTTGTTTCTGTCACTGTGCTCCTATCGTTTGTATGGAAGTCACGTAATTGTCACTTGTTCAAGTGCGCGCGCCATTGTAGGATTCTCAGGCAGGTGACAGAGTCACCAGTATACTCGTAGCCTTACTACAGAAGTTATGTATGAGACACGATTTTGCAATTTTTATCAAGATCACAAAATCGTTTGAAATGGAATCAATAATTTGTCTAAGTTTTTACTTAAATATTTTGTAATTATCAATTTTATATTTCAGTATTTAATGATAGATTAGAAATAAATCACATAAAAATATTTTATTGCATTATTGTCTGTATTAATTGTGAATTCCACTCAACTATGTATTACAAAATTACAATGTTTGTTGTAAATGGCTACTCTGTAGAATATTATACCCACCTGATAGCCACATTTATAAAAAAACTACATAAAAATATGTTTGAATTGTTTTTACGTTATAATTAGCATGAATTTATTTTTAACTTGATTTAAAATATAACAATCAATGAATATTGGCTCTATTTATTTTAAAACCTAATGAACCTTTATTTACGATAGCTCAAACTTTAATATTGGGACAAAACAAACACGGATTTCTCTGAATAAATAAATCGATGAAAAAATCTAATTCACAGATAAGGATGTGTACATACTTTAATCATGGAAAAAAGTTTTAACAAAGTCTTTTATGTTTTAATAATATCCTTGGCACCTAACGTAAACAACTTGTTCCTAGTTAAACAATTTTTCAAAACTATAAAGATCTAGTTGGCTAGGAATTTGGTTTCTTTTTAATTTGGTGTGTAAACAAATAGTTTGTAAAATAATAACAAAACCTAAAACAGTATAGATATGCTAAAATAATGTTGAATACCTACTGATCTACCTATACATAGAACCTTTAGTTTTTTTATTTAATACAAGAATACAAATAAGTCAATTTTTTATTACTGCTTATAAACTAGACTGATAAAATCAACCACTATCACATGCAGATGCAATTTCATTTGTACACAATGGATTTATCACCATATTGAAAAATTTGTCAAACTTAATATAATATCACGAACAGTCTTTGTTAAATCATCTCCATCCCAAAATAGTCCTCCGCAGGATTCACACAGTAGTGCAAACTTATTTGAATTTGATAATTCATGTGCATTGTTTATCTCAATGATGGCCCCTTTGCTTGTTTTACACGATTTGTTTGGTTGAACCACGTCCACTATTTGGTATAAATCCTCATCACCATCAGAATCACTAAGAAATTTATCATAGTTTGATTCATCGTCATCATAATCAACATTATTATATTGACAATTTGTACTTTCATTAGTCTCATAATCAATACATAGTTTCGTAACTTCATCTGGTGGTAACTTTCTTATATCCTTCCCGTTACATTTCAAACAAAATCTAAATAAATCATTTTGCTTAATACCTATATTAAATCTATTGAATATTATTTGTAATTGATCTGTGATACTGCCCTTACCTATATCCAATATAGAACTCTGAGGAAATTTTTTATTAGGTGTGCCTTTTAATTTTGTTAAAATAACTAATCTCTGTTCTGATATTGCCAAATTAATTACATCACACCACAGCATTGTTTCAGACATCATAGCAGTATCTATTCCACAATACCTTAAATATGGAACAAGATAGGATAACTTTGGTTCTGCTAGAAATTTCACTTCGTCAGCAGATTTCAATGGGCCTTTGGTAACAAAACTATGAACTCTTTCATGACCTCTTGCTTTTTTGACAGATTTCTTTTTTGATTCTGTCATTACATCATTACATATTTCATCAAAATTGATGCCTTGTTCTGTGCATTTTTGTTGGAGATAATTATAAATTTCTACGAGAACATATGCATCTAATGCTGCATAATTTATTTGCGTTTTTCTTAAAGGTCTAAGTTCCCAATTGGAACACTGTTCTGATTTTTCTAATGGTAATCCAAAGCAGGTTTGTACCAAGTAACTCAAACTGTTGCCTGTACTTTCATCATTTACAGGTAGAGCAAGACCACTATTGAGAAGTGTTCGCCATAATATAGATATGTCAAGTAGACCTTCTCCTTTAACTTTAATATTTCCTAACCCTATTACTGATGCTTTCATCTCTTTCAGATCTTGTTCAAAACCAAATCCTAGTTTTATTATTTCTGCATTATCTAAAAACGATTTATAAAATGTATACCAGAAACTTGAATATGATTGGCTATTCAATATTAATGTATCAATTAAATAGACCATAGCATCGGTAGCAATTTGTATTAATGCTACTTGAGATTGTTTTGCACCAAAACATGGCTTCCACTCACAATCTATACTTATAACACTACATTCCTTTAAGTCAGTCATCATCAGATCATAAAATTTTTCAGCTGTGTCTATTAATATTACATGTTCTTCGCTTAATTTTAATTTATAGTACTCTACAGAGGGACTAACAACAGCTTCATTATCCCAACTTTCTTCTTCTGGTGTTTCTTGTAAGGACAATTGTTTCAAGGTCAATGGCAGATCATTTTCAGGTATATTCAAATAGGTAGCCCACTTTAAAGCTTCATTTTTATCATAATCAAGTAACATGTCTATGAATTCTCTAGCTGATTCTGAATTATGTCTTAGTGAATCTTTAACCAAATCATCCCAAACAGAAGAACTCACATTGTGTTCCTGGTATTTCTGATGAATTAAATATCTCAACCCTCCTGTTGTACGATTTTTGCTTAGATTCTTACAATTTTCTATTGGTACATTAAACTTATTACACAATCTGGCTACTAATTTTCCAAGTGGTTTATAATGTATTTTATCATATCTAACATGACATATTTTGTTTTCTTCAATATATTTTTGAGCATATTCTTTAAGATTAAATTTTTTATCAAGCATTTTATCTAAAAAATTCAACAGAAGCTGAACTTGGGATGGGCATTCTGACAAATATTCATCGATTAAATTGGTTTTGTCTTGTAGAATCAGTGGAAACAGGAGATCTTCAACTGGAATATCATCATATAGTGCCATTGCTATAATAACTTGAGATGCCAATTTACAATTATCTTTTTCAATCATATCTTTGACAATAGGAATAATAGTTTCTTTTATTGTATCAATCTGGTATGTTTTAACAACTAAATTTAGGAAATATGAATTTCTTTGTTGTATAGCAATGTGAAATGCTGGCAATTTTAAAGAGTCGTGGGCACTGTTACCTGAAGCAAGGGCCCATTTTTGAAGGGTCTCTACAAGGAAAAATGGTAACGATTTTGGTTTGCAATCTTTAACATCTTCAGTTTTAATGATGAAAATTAAAGTCACTCTGAAGGGGTCTACAATTGACTGAAAAAATAATTCGATTTGATTTTCAAGGGTGGCACTTTTTTTCCATGTTTTCCATGTCACTTTTAATTGTTTAAACCACACGATAGTGTTTTCATCTAAATCTACATCCAGTCCTTTTGCACGTAGAGATTCTTCAATTGACGGCACTATTTTAATTGATTGATTTTTATTAACAAGCTGATGTAAACTGTTGGTATTCATGGTGTATAAAGATCTGGCTAGTGCAGTATACCGAAATAAAGCTATTCAAGACTGAACTGTTGAGAAATCGTTGACGCGATTCATACCCACTTTGTTTTATTATCTTCTTTGTTATCGACGATCATTTCTTGAATGAAAGAGACTTATATTTACTTGTATTTGCTCAATATTAAGGGTATATAAGACAATACGTTAGTTAATTTGAAAAGTAATATGGAATTATCAAAATCTCTCTCACTGGACCAAAATTAAGAATACTCTTTGATAAAGAATTGAAAGAGAAATAGTTTTGTCAATGTAAGTGTCAACTTCGACAATTAATGTAGGGATGTAAAATAAACGATTATAGATATATTCAATTAATAATTTACAATTGAGGATTTGTTTATAATTAGAAATTGAACTTAATACCTGATTTTATTTTTATAAATATATTATTATATTAGTTTGCATTATTTTTTTTTCATAATCATTCAATCAATTAATACAAGTTTTTCATCTGCAACCTTTATATCGGGGATATTAAGTTTGCGCTTTTGGGGCGGACACCCCAGCCCAACATTGCGAACACGAACTGTCAAAGAATACTATCTCCATATTATTAGTTTAACACCATCTGTGCATCTATGATTTCGAAACTTTTTCGTGACAAAAAGTTTTCAGTCTTATTCAAAGACTCATTTTTAACAATATCTACGACTAAAAGGACAAAAACGATTTGTACGAATACCTAGTATATTTGATACATATCGGGTAAGTATATAGATATTAAACGGATTGTTTATTATAATTATCTATTTTTAGGACCTTTGTTGCTGATTAATAAACCCTATTCATTCATTATATATGTGGTGATATAAACTCTTTGGTTTATACCAAAAAGTAGCTTTGACCAAAGGAAACTATATCTATTCTGTCATCAATTGTCATGTAAAGTTTTTGTTGAATAAAGCCTATTAATTTCTCAGTTTATTTAATAATCTATAAAGGTTTATTCTACTACAATTTATTCAACAAAACTAAATGGATAAATATCTACGACCAGAAAGATTTGACGGAGATCCGTCCTCTAGTGAAGATCAGTCCCCTCAGTGGACGCATTGGAAAAACACATTTGAAAATTTTTTGACATCCATCTCTACCAAAGAAAAACCACTAGATAAAGAAACGAAATTTCAGCTATTGACAAATCATTTATCTCCTACATTATTTGCATATCTACAAGATTCAACTGACTATGACTCGGCCATCTATCATCTCAACACATTATTCTTGAAGCCATCTAACGAGGTTTACTCCCGATACAAATTAGCCAAACGTTCTCAACAAAGTGGTGAGTCCGTAGATCAATATTTACAAGCCCTGAAACTACTTTCGAAAGATTGCAATTTCAAACAAGTATCTGCTGAGCAAAATAAAAATGAATTTATTAGAGATGCATTCATATCCGGTCTCTCATCGCCCTCAGTCCGTCAGAGACTTTTGGAAAATAGCACACTGACTTTGGACGATGCTTTTAAACAAGCACGTGCTCTAGAGATGGCACGTATACATAATAATGATTACCAACAACCTAGTACTAGTTTCTCAGTCAACGCAACGTCAAACTTTAATCAAGAACAAGAACTTTGTTATTTTTGTGGAAATAAGAGACACGCACGACGCAACTGCCCTGCTTCCAGCTCAACATGTCTCAAATGCGGAAAAAGAGGACATTTTGCAAAAGTGTGCAAAGGTGGCGCAAAATTTCATCAGAAAGCGTTCGCCGCCCAAAATGATACTCATGAAGCTGAGAAAGCAGGATGTCCGCAATCACTTTCGTGTATTATCGCTGCTACAACTGATCTAAGCAAAGCTATAGTATCGATCACGATTAATGGATTATTTACCACTAAAGCATTAATTGACACCGGGAGCACAAGTAGTTTCATTGATAAGCGTCTAGTAGAACAATACAAAATAGCAACTCAACGTTGCGTCCAGCACATCAGCATGGCAGTTTCGAATTTAAAAACAAGAATAGACTCGTCATGTTCAGTCAACATAGATTTACAAGGACATAAATTTGAAGTTAATCTGTTAATAATGGAAAATTTATGCGCAGATGTAATAATTGGACATGATGTTCTTAAGAAATATAAGACACTAGAAATGTTTTTCGGTGGCTCCAAAGCTGCTTTAAAATTATGTGCCCTAACTTGCGCTAATATCGACCCAGTCTGCCTATTTCCAAATCTTTCGTCCGACTGCAAACCGATCGCAGTTAAGTCACGAAGATTCTCAGAGAGTGATATGATATTCATCAGCAATGAGATAAAGAAGCTACTCGCTGACGGAATAATAGAATCTAGTTCATCTCCGTGGAGGGCACAAGTGCTAGTAACAAGTAATGAAAACCATAAAAGAAGGATGTGTGTAGATTATTCGCAGACTGTGAACAAGTTTACACAACTTGATGCTTATCCGCTGCCATGTATTGAAGATGTGGTAGCTAAAGTTGCGAAATACAGGGTTTATAGCAAAATTGATCTAAAAAGTGCTTACCATCAGATTCCAATTCTAAGCAAAGAAAAAGTGTATACTGCATTTGAGGCGGAAGGAAATTTATACCAGTTTTGCAGGATTCCGTTTGGTGTAACGAATGGAGTAGCTGCATTCCAGCGGGCGGTGAATAATATCATCAAAAAAGAGGGTTTACTAGGAGTTTATGCATATTTAGACGATATTACCGTATGTGGAAAGGATCAAATGGATCACGATAGTAAATTGCAGCATTTCCTTGATGTAGCTAAACGATATAATCTTACACTTAATTTTGATAAAAGTCAGTTTTCTCTTGAAGAAATAAGTATTTTGGGCTATAATATATGCCGTGGAGTAATCAGACCCGACCCAGAACGTCTTCGTCCTCTATTGAATTTGCCACTGCCCTCAGATGCTGCATCTCTTCGCCGAGCACTGGGATTGTTCGCTCACTATTCCAAATGGTTGCCAAAGTTTTCTCATAAAATACAGCCTCTTATTTCTCAAGAATCGTTTCCGTTGGACTCAGAAGCTAAAAAGGCATTTGAAACATTAAAAAACGAAATAGCCTCGTCAGCAGTGAACGCGATTGACGACAAAATACCGTTTGTAGTCGAAACAGACGCTTCAGACTATGCTATCGCAGGTACATTGTCACAAGAAGGCAGACCTGTGGCATTTTTTTCGAGAAGTCTTCATACTAGTGAACGAAATCATTCGGCTATCGAGAAGGAAGCCGCAGCTATCGTAGAATGTCTTAGAAAATGGAGACAGTTCCTTATTGGAAGATCTTTCAAACTAATAACTGATCAGAAGTCGATCTCATTCATGTTTGATCAAAAACATTCGTCAAAAATTAAGAACGATAAAATACAACGCTGGCGCCTAGAACTGTCCGTCTATAATTTTGATATAGTTTATCGCCCTGGAAAAGATAATGTAGCAGCTGATGCGTTATCACGGGTTAACACTGCGATTGTCGCTTCTGCAAGTCCTTCGAAAACTGTACTAAAGGAACTCCATAACACTTTATGCCACCCTGGAGTTACAAGAATGTTTCACTGGGTCAAGAGCAAAAATCTTGCCTACTCTTTAGATGAAATAAAAAATATCACTTCAAACTGTCCAATATGCTCGGAAGTAAAACCTCGTTTTCAACAAAAAGTTGGAACACTTATAAAAGCAACGGCTCCATTTGAAAGATTATCTATCGATTTTAAAGGTCCACTACCAACAGAAGGCTCTAGAACGAATCGATACATACTGACTATTGTTGATGAGTACTCCCGTTTTCCTTTCGCATATCCGTGTTCTGATTTAACCACAAACACAGTAATTGATAAACTGACTGATCTGTTTTCTGTTTTCGGGATGCCAACTTATATTCACTCGGACCGAGGCACCTCATTCTTATCGAAAGAAATGAAAGACTTCTTACATCAGAAGGGTATTGCAACGAGCTATACGACGCCATATAATCCTCAGGGCAATGGACAGACAGAGAGATATAACGGCATAATATGGAAAACTATCCAGTTGGCTCTAAAAACTCATAATTTACCATCAACGAAATGGGAGGTGGTCTTAGCCCAGTCGTTACATTCGATTCGGTCTCTTCTATGCACAGTCATCAATTGCACTCCACACGAGAGAATGTTCTCACACCCGAGAAGGTCCTCGAATGGCCAATCAATGCCTTCTTGGCTAACAGTTGGGAATAAGGCATTGATGCGAAAATTTGATAGAAATAGCAAATATGATTCATTAATCGAGGATGTTGAGGTGCTCGAAACAAATCCACAACACTCGCGTGTAAGGCTAAACGGAGGAAGAGAGCTTGTGATCTCGAATCGACATTTAGCCCCTCCAGGGACATGCCCTAGCGACTCAGACGGGGAAAATCCTTCATGTGATGATGATGATGATAACTTTGTCGACGCCATAGACCATAATGAGCAGCATGATTCCCAGGAAAGGACTTTTCGAAACATCGAGCCTGACGATCTAAGGAGGTCTAAAAGAAATCGACGCTCGCCTGCATATTTAGCTGACTATGTCGCTCAATAAAGAAGCGCAGGAGAATGTGGTGATATAAACTCTTTGGTTTATACCAAAAAGTAGCTTTGACCAAAGGAAACTATATCTATTCTGTCATCAATTGTCATGTAAAGTTTTTGTTGAATAAAGCCTATTAATTTCTCAGTTTATTTAATAATCTATAAAGGTTTATTCTACTAATTAAGACTTCATGTAGTTTTGTTGCTATAAGTTCAACAAACAATTAATAGCAACAAAACTAACTTACCTAGTTGTTATTGTTTTCAGAACTTTGTTAAATATCACAATGAAAAATTTCTAGACTTACTATGGCAAAAGTATTGTATTTATAAAAACTATTTAACGGTAATATTTTTGTATACCGTAGCTAAATGTCACTTTTAATAACTTCACAGCATTAATTCTGTTGATTTCCATAACTTTAAAAAAACCCTCTCTATGCTCTTTTATATTATATTAGTTTCCATTTTCCTTTATATAAATAAAAAAAAAAATCAAGGATTAGTTCGTGTTAATCGAATTGCGTTTGCGTAACTTGAGCTAATTGAATTTCAACGCGTTATTAATCTGATTTATCAGATCCATAACAACACTGACAATTCTATTCTCTTTGGTTTAACGTTATGACTTGACATTTAGACCATATAATTTGTGCTGCCACTTAGTGAAATAAATGTTTGTAGTTTCTTTATTTTTTTAAATACTTCCTCATTAAAGTCATTTGATTACAAGTTGACAGCGTTTTTACAAAATAATCGAAAAATATTTTTTTGCACAAAAAGAATTTTTACAATGCCTATAATTAAAAATCAAAAATAGATTATTGTAAAATCACATTTACAACCCGAAAATATTTATATTTTATTCCAATAGTTATATTTGCAGTTCTAATACGCACTGTGGCATCGTAACACATCCGAACAAACTAAAACAAAA